CTCTTTCTCAAAAACATTAAAACAATAAAAAACAAATTAAAAATTATTTTGGTTAAGTTTCCCAGAGTGATTGGATTTTTCCTTTGGTTCTACCAAGGAGGTGTAATAGAGAGGAGGAAGGATGGCTTGTTGTTCTTGTTCAAAGATAATGAAGTATTTAGGACAGTGGCAATAGGGAACAGTGGGAATAACTTCAGGCTGCCTTCTACCACTCCATCTTGAAGTCTGCTTCCAGAATAGCTTTGCATAAAATCAGCTTTCTTTATGCCATTTCACAACTCAGAAATATTTCTAGGGTTCTTTGGTTCCTCCCTGTGTCTTCAGAACCACTTCCTCCCTGTACCACCCCCACCACCCAGTCTGTCTTCCTACCCACACCCAGAGTTTATGCCATTTCCTAGATAGCAAGTTTTTTCCACCTGCTTGCTCCCAGCCTCCCCATCCCCACATGCAGTGTCCCTTTCTGTTTCCCTCTGTCCTCGAGGGCTGTTCCTTTCACTCGCCAGGACTTCTCCTCCACCCGCCCCCCCTCCTGACTCTAATTCAGATTTGTGTCATCCAAATTCCTGTAGAAATGGCCACTTCAACCAGGACCAGTGATATTATGGAAAATAAAATATAAAAAGGGTTTTCCCTTGACTGTTTCCTATAATGATCATAAGTGCTAAGGCCTGGATGACAGATGATTACTCTCTATGGTGGCTAGAAAGTAATGACCCAGATACATAGCTTTCACGATCTGATTCGTACATAACAATAGAACATTTTGTGTTGCTTTTTGTGGTTTCCCGTGTTCAGTTTCTAGTTCTTTGAAACCAAAGCCTTGGCTTATGTTATCTTTCATATCCCCCCAAGTACCCACTCCAGGGCTGGACACCCAAGAAAGACCTGTTGAACTGATAGATTAAATGGTATAGATGTGGAGGGGTCAAGGAGATGTCACAGAGTGTGAAGTGAGGATCCACGATTCCCTTAGATGGTGCATTGGAGAAATCGTTCATCCTGTCACTGGCACATCAAAGGAGGACTGTTCCAAGTCCAGTCTTTTGTTGGGCACTCATGTGAAATTGATTCAAAAGCGATAGAATCTTTGCACATATAAACAGCTAACAAATGATGGAGAATGTGCGTCCAAACAAATCCAATTGGCAGGACATGTGGTGCTGTTGAGAGGAAGCCTCTGGCTATCCATCACACCTTGAAAGATGAACAGGGCAGGCCCAGCTTTCCCTTCAAAGGCAGGAAAGGTTAGCGCTCTGGGAAAACAGAGCCCAATGGGAATTTCAAACACACGGTGTGGCCCTTCCGGCTTGTAGGTCATTATTAACTATTCTTACCCTAAATGGCCATGACATATAATCTCTTTCCTAATTTTATTATTTTACTTACTATCACAAGACCGTAACTTTTTAGACATTCAGGTGAGATTAAGGGAGGAGGAGGTGGAATAAGGCTTTTAAAACCTTTGGTTACCTCAGAAAACATATTTGCTTACTTTACCAGGAAGTTGGATTTTTGTTTTGTTTTGTTTTCTACTGATGCCAAGAGGGGATTAACGAGTAGCTGCTGGGTTTGCCAGCTTTCTTTTGATTTCAGTTTATGTAATTAAGCAGTTCCCAGAATGACTTGAGGTTCTCACTATGCATCAAAACATGCTTCTCAGATGTGTTAGGTGTGGAGGTCAGAAAGGATCCAAACTCACTGAACAGAGGGAGGGGGAGTGAAAAACTGATCTTGCTTTAGCAGCAGTCCATCCTATCTAAAAAGGGTTGATTCTGCTTTGGGGCCATGTACACTGAGGTATATTGAGTAGAAAGGTTAAAACAGAAGTTCAGAATGAGCTAATGTTGGAATAACTCAAAGTGAGGTTAACAATAGAAATAACACGGGAAACCAGCTCTGATTTACTGTTGAATTTCCAGCAACTAGAGCCTCACGCATGGTGGATGTTCAAGAACTTGTGCATTCGACAAAGACACACTAGTAACCCACTAGGTGCCGGGCTCCATTCTAGCTGCTGGAGATACAGTAAGGGATTTAACCTCCCTCAGGATGCTCACATGAGTAGGCACAAGACAACCTGCCCGAGACATGGGGAGGAAACCAGCCTAAAAGCCAAGGGAGCCAGGCGTTTGCAGGAAGAAGATGTGATCACGAGAAAATGCTGCTAAAAGGACAGGAAAATGAAGACTTGGTAATGGTGGCAGCTCTACAGCCATCAGTGACAATAGGAATAGGCCACCTTCACAGAGTACCAGTCGTGAACCATGCATCTTAACATATAATTTCATCCCCCGTATGACACCTGTAAGGCAGGTCCTATGTCATCTGCTTTTTACAGATGAGAAAACTGAGGACAGGAATGAAGTCATTTGCCCAAGCTCAGATAGCCAGTAAGTGACAGATTCAGGAGGGAGCTCTTCTCCATCACTCCATGGACCCTGTTCTTAAATGCTGTGTGTCTGGGGTTGGTGGAATAAAAAGCAGTCAGGGAGTGGAGAGGGGCATGGGAAAGCGAAGTTTTCTCCTCTTGAAAGATTTGGATTCTTTCAAAGTCAGCTGAGGAAATGCAGCGTTGTTGCTAAAGCCCAAGTCCGGGCTGGTGACCATAGGAAGGCACTGTAGCAGTTGTTTCTGATGGCGTGTTTCAGCTAGAGCAGGGCAGCGTCGGATACGTGACACAGCTGCACTGCTGGGTGGAAAGGCTTGCCCCCAGTGCTTCAGGGCCGCGGTTCTCAGAGTGGGGTCCCCACACCAACAGCGTTGACATCACCTGGGAACTTGTTAGAGATGCAGATTCTCAGATTCACCACCCCAGGTCTTCCAAATCAAAACCTCGGGGAACAAGGGGTGGAATCCATGTTCTAACAAGTCTTTGTGTGATTCCGATACACAAACCCGTGTTCTTGGGGTATCCTTGAAACCAGAAGAGGGAAAATCCGAATAGCTTATAATCCATGTATCTCACAGATGCAAAACACCTTGGCAGAAACTAATACTGAACCCTGGCTGCACGTTGAGGTCACATGGGAAGCTTTGAACACTACCAATGCCCGAGTCCCAACCTCAGAAATCCTGGTGTCATTGGGCTGGGGTCAGCCTGGGCATTTGGTTCTTGTAATGAAGGCTTGAATGGGGAGTGGATGATTGAGTGAATGGTTGGCAAGGCAGCCTGTGTATTTTTGAGTCAGAATCATACTTGGGGGAGAAAACAAGGCAGGTCTTGAAGGGGAAAGAAGACAAATGGAAGAGAAGCCAGACCTTAGGCCCTTTGTGAATACCAATACAGCTTGAATAAATCTGGACACTGTTGTGGGAGGAGAAGGCAGTCTGAATTCATAACAATTCTTAACGGGGGACTTATTTTCAGAGCACTTCCAATTGTAAAGTAAATATGCTATCAAGACTGCTTCATGAATAAAGAAGTATTGTGATTTTTAGTCAGTCTTAATGGAAGTGTTTCTACTAATTTTGGTTGAAAACAGTATGCTCACCTCCTCCTGGCAGCTTCACTCAGACTCTGTCTATATGTTAAGAATGTGTTCCTCTGGCCTCTCCAACATCAATGTTTTCCCTTTGCTCCATGAACATTCCTCCCCCGCTGAGCTGCTCAGCTCCTGTCCTGGGCATTCTCACTCTGTCCCCAAATCCTGGGATTTGTTCATGCCCTCCACCCCCGCATCCTCATTTTCTCAGGCCCTAGCTCTGTCCAGAATCCTCCATGGTCCCTGGCTTAGAGAACCCGCCCTTCTCTTGCTCTTTCATCTTTAAGACACTCTGCTCCTATTTTGCTTTTCATTCTGCCCATTTCTCATCTCTACCCCTGGATCATAAGTTCTGCAGGGACAGTACTGGCTCGTCATTCTTTGTCTCCTACCCAGCCCAGCACCCCATACCCCCACAGCCTTAGGAAATAGTAGTCAAGAAATTCACCGCAAAATGAATATCCATCTATCTGCCTCGCACATGCTCATGTAACGTGCTCACGTAGGGCAGATAAAGAAGGCCCCTCCTCCCATGAGGTAGGAGTGTGGTCGGGCCATTCAGAAGGCTGCCTTGAGGGAGGAATCCACGGGAAAATGTGCCAAGATGGGAATCCCAGAAGGAACCTCCTCCAGAGTGAAAAGTGGCCCTCGCAGAAGGGCCACTTGCAGCCTCATTACTTTGTAGTAGTTTCCTAGGACTGCCTTTAACATATCACCACCAGTTTGGGAACTTAAAACAATAGAAATCCAGTCTCTCTCAGCTCTAGAGGCCAGAAGTCTGGAACCAGTGTCACTGGGCCAAAATCAAGGTGTGGGCTGGGTCCTGCTCTCTCCCAAGGCCCCAGGGGAGAGTCCATCTTTGCCTCTTCCAGCTTCTGGTGGCCGCCATGTTCTTTGGCTTGGGACTACATCACAGTCGCTACTTCTGAGGCCACATTGCCTTCTCCCTGCTTCAAAAAACTCCCCCCTGCCTTTCTCTTATAAGGACAACTGTGACTGCATTTAGGGCCCATCCTGGTGATCCAGAATAACTCCCCATCTCAAGATCCTTAGCACATCTGCAAAGTCCTTTTTTGCTAAGGTCACATTTGCACATTAAGGGATTAGGACATGGATTTCTTCTGGGGAGCCATTATCCAACCTACCCCACGTGTAAAGGTAACTGGAGCTTCCAAAGGGGCAGAGATTTTCCCAAGGACACACTCCAAGGTCGTCACAGAAATCAGACAAAGACACAAGTCTCCTTTCTGTCAGCTTTGGGCTTTCTCCACTAGACTAAGCTGATGTTCATAAAAATAAAACAGAGGAAGAGATTTAAAATAACACCTCATACCCTAATCCGTGTGCTGTCTGCATTATTTGTCTTCTGTCTGGATTGGGTGCTACCAGGACTCATTCACCTCCGCACCCTCTTCCCCCTCGAGTTCTGTTGTGTCGGGCTCACGATACCCTCTCTGGCCTGCGTGGGCAGCTGCGGTAGAAATACCTAAATGGCATTTTCTGTTCTCCTTTCAGGACCGCCTCTTTTTTGTCATGGAGTATGTCAATGGTGGAGACCTCATGTTCCAGATTCAGCGCTCTCGAAAATTCGATGAGCCTCGTTCCCGGTTCTATGCTGCAGAGGTTACGTCAGCCCTCATGTTCCTCCACCAACATGGAGTCATCTACAGGTAGCTCTTCCCTCCTCCTCCGCCTCCCTTCCCTGACAGCGAGAAAATAAAGAATTCTGCAGGCACTTGAACTGACTTTGGCTCCTGCCCAACTGGTCTCTTAGCAACCCGCTTTAGATTAGTTGTTTGTTCCAATTTGCTCACAGAGGACTTTTTGGGGGGCTGTTTATCACTGTGAATGTTAATATTTGAATAGCCCCGGGAGATCTGGCCCACCATTTGTGCCAGTTTTGATTGAAAGCCCAAACACAACATTTTAAAGGCTTGGCGCCGAGCGACCTTGGGGTGACCTTCATTTCTCTCTCTCCCCACCCTCTTCCTTCAACATCAGGGCATTCTCCTTACTTTTTCCTTCTGTGCCATGAACTTCCTCCCTTCCCAACCTCTTGCCACTTCCTGAGTTTGTTTGGCTTAGTTGTCTCCAGCAGATAGAATCAGAGAAGGAGGAGTTGCTTGGGGGTCTCTGGGTTTATGATTCAAGGAGGAGGAGGGGAAGGGAGCTAGACAATATCCAACAGGAAGTGACTGCAGATCATCCAGTCCCTTACTGCCGCCCTGTCCCCTTTCCAAGAAAACACACACACACACACACACACACACACACACACACACACACACACACACTGATTTTCCAGCAAGGGAGCAGGGCTATTTACGCAGGCTCTTCTGTGAGGTCAGGAATTCTGGGGGGAGTAAATATTTATAATTAGCAATAAGGACACTAAAGTTCCTTACGGTTTTCTCAATGACTGTCCATTGCTTTTGCTCCCCCCCCCCCTTTTTTTAATTGGGTTGAATAATAGCTGGCTGGGTTCAACCTAGAACTTAGTCACCAAAACTTTTCTGACTCTCTCCTGGGAATAGTGCTCTGAGTAAATGCTCTTGAAGGGGTTCTGACCAACCGCCCCCCAGACTTCCTTTCTACTGATGAGTCTTAGTTTCCTAAAGTATGCATCTCTCTGCTCAAAAATAGTCAGGATCTCCCCATGGCCTACATAATAAAGCCCATGCTCTTTAGCCCCTAGTCATGGCCCTCCGCATCTTGCGTCCATGTATTTGTTTCCTATTGCTCTGTAACAACATACCACAGACTTCGGGGCTTAAAACAGCACTCATTTATTATCTCCCAGTTTCCATGGGTCAGGAGTTCAGACATCATGTGCCCCAGCTCTCTGCTCGGGGTCTCTCTGCTGCGATTGGGGTGTCAGGCCAGGCTGCCTGCTTGTCTGAACTGTGGGGTCCTCTTCTTAGCTCATGTGCTTGTAGGCAGAATTCATTTCTTCGAAGCACATGGCTGGCTTCTTCAAGACCAGCAGGAAAGAAAACCTTTCTTGCTTTGAGTCTCTACCTTCAGGGAAGGCTTGGGTCCTCTTTTAAAAGGATCACATGATTAGATCAGGACTGTCCAGGATCATCTCCCTTTGGTTTCACTCAAATGATTAGGGACCTTTATTATCTCTGCAAAAGTCCTTTTTCCTATAATGTCACATAATCACAATAGTGATAGCGTATCATCTTTTCCACCTTCTTTTGGTTAGAGTTAAGTCACAGCTGCCACCATACTTGGGGGAGGGGTTACGGGATTATACCAGCGTGTGAGTCAGTGGGGCTCAGCTTAGACTGGATCTGCTCTATAGCCCAGGACACCTTTCTCTCCTTACTCCCCATAGCACCTTGTTTTGACCTCGCCAAGGTTCGTAGCTTTTCTCAAACTCACCTGCCAATTCCCAATTTCCTGTGCTTATTCCCTCCCCTGTCCAGCCCAGAGGCCTCACACAACACTGCCTGCCTGCACAAAGCCTGGTCTCACCAGCCAGAGCAGGTCTTTCCAGGCTGGGCACTTCCATTTGCAATTTGGGAATGAATGGGATTTGAGACTTGCGTCGCTACGCCTACCGCTGTCCACCTTGTGTTAGCAGTAGGCATCGCTGTGGATCCTTCACCAAGTTGCAAACAACCTTAAAGGACCATTTCTTCTGCTGCTGCTGCTGCTGCTGCTGCTGCTGCTGCTGCTGCTGCTGCTGCTTCTTCTTCTTTAAGCCCTCAATCATCTTATTTTACATACTCTTCTTGTCTTACACGTAGTAAATATTCAACAAATGACCATTGACTTCAATTAGTTTAAGACCCTAATCTCTGCCCCCAGAGCAGCTCACAAGCCAGTTCCAGATACAGGAGTTACGTATGCAAAGGGCTCACCCATCCTGCAAGGCAGTGCACTGTTAGGTGCCAGTGGCAGGAGGAAGAATTTCTGTCCTTTGAGATGTCATCCCCATTCCATCCCTGTTAGGAGTGGGTATAAACTGTCCAGTTTACTGGCAGGGATTCAGAGACTCCCCTTAAATGGCTTGCCCAAGGCCCTACTTGGTCAGTGACAAACCCGGGAAGTCTCAGTGACTGATAAGCAAGCTCGTGCTGTACGCCATGACACCTGTTACTCTGCCTTTTCAGGTCCAAGTCCAGACTCTTAGGCTTGTCATCCCAGGTATTCCAAAAGTTGACTTTCCCTTACATTTCTACTTTTCTGCTTTCCAAGTCTGTCTCATCGCAGTTGTGAATACTTGCTCTATCGGCTTTTATGCGCCGTACCTTCCCCTCCCCCCACTCCTTCCCACCTCCCTGACCCTTTCTCCTCAGTCTCCGTATTACCCAGCCCGGCTGCTTCTCCCTTCCAACGTCCATTCTCTAAATGCTGGTTTTCCCCAGGGCCTTCATCCCTCCTTACTCCCACCCTAAATACTCTGCCCGAGCGATTTCAACATTTACATTCTTTCAGATGACTCCTGTGTGCCAGCAACTCTATGTCACTATATCCAGTCCCCAGTTATCCCCAGACCCCCAAACAAGATCTCTATACCAAACCTCTCTCTCTCAAGAGTTGACCTTGGGGGCCTTCTTCCTTCTTCCCAGGTGAGTTTCCAGTAGTTTACTGACCTGACTCCCTCACCGGTTCTCGGTGTCCCATTGTTCCTCTCTGTCCTCCCTCCGTTTGCTGCCCAGCATTCTTTGAAAGCACACGATTGTCACATGCTCCCCTTTTTAGCATTCTTCAGCCCCTAAAGATAAAGCACAGTCCCCTTCTCTGGCCTTCAGACTCCCTCATGCCCTGGCCCTGTTGTGCAGAGGTCTGTGGTCTGGACATGGCTTAGCAGTGAAGAGCACAGGCAGTGAGTGGAGGGTGGCATCCAGGTCAGCTCTGCTTCTGTGGGTGGTTTCAGCCCAGGAAAGGGGTGCTTTTTCTACCCAGAGGAGATGCCTTACTGTGTTTCTCACAAAGACACCACATGTGCTAACTGGGCCCCAGTAGCCCCAGTGATCTTGTGACCCTTATCACTGTTCCTTCTAACCACACATCCCACCCTCTAAGTGTTCCAAATTATTTGCCATTCTCCCCCTCCCCCTCCCCCAGTACCATTCTTTTTCATTTCTCTGAGCCTTTGTACACCTGTCCCTGGAAATCCCTTGCTTCTAATCTGTGTCTTCATCAATGAGCAGTTCCTAGTTCGCATCCGTGTTCTGACTGCCTCTGAGTCCCTGGTTTAAAAGGTGTGTAGATTCCATAATACTGGAGGAGGGGAAACCAATAAGGGTATCAGCGAGAAAAGAACGGCCATGAGTTTATGATTGCTGAGGCTGGGCGATGGGTACCTGGGGCTTCAGTATCCTATCTACTGTTTATATGTTTAAATTTGCCATAATTATAATATCTTTTTTAAAAAAGACTAGCAACTCCAGGGTAACATTCTTAGTTTTTGATTCAGTAGGTCTGGAATGGGGTTCAGGAATCTCTATTTTTGTAAAGTGTTCCTCAGGTGGCTTGGGGACCACAGATCGAGAAAAATTCTATTGTGCCTTTGGAACTATGCCAAGCTCCCCTGCTGTTTGAGGCCTTCCCTGACCACCCAGGCTGTCCTGGCAATCGTGCCTTCCCTGAGCAACATAACGTCTCTCCATACCAGGCATTTAGCAGATTCTCTTTGCAGGGCTTATATTTTTACTTAAGATGCCTGTTCCGTGGTTGAGAACTCCACACAAGAGTCCTTACCTGGTTGGCCTAGAACAGTAGCCTGCTTATAGTAGGTGTTCACTAAATATTTGTTCCTCATGTATGTAATGTTCCAGAGCCTTCCAGTCCAGTGGGCTGCTCCCTCATAGGTGCATACTGATTAAAAGTCTGTGTTGGAAGCATTCCTAACTCCTTGACCCTAAAAGGCCCCCCAGTTCCTTCATATCTCTCATTTTATGGATTAATGAGCATGGTATGATCTCTGTTTCCCATGTTGCTTTGTGCTAAGGGGAAGTCTGTCTGCATGCCGCTGGCTAGAGACACTATCTCTGCCATTTGCCTCTGTCCTGAAGCCCAGGCGGAGACCCTATTTTGTGTGATCCAGGGTCTTAGGAGATTGGCAAGGCCAGGTTTTGGAGGAGGAAGCTGATGGCTGGAGTTGAGATTGAATTTTCCGGCCTTCTTTCTGGAATTTATATACATGCTAATTAGCGGCTAATTGGCCAGCGTTCAAGAACTGAGGAAAAAAGTCATTTCTCTGGCTGGTGGCTCACACTTAACAACAGAGGGCCCATAGCCCCCTTTCTTCTCATCTTTGAGCCAGGCTCCAGCACCAGGCTGCACAGGGCACTGTCTCTGTGTCCCCTGCCCAGCGTTCCTGGGACTCCTCTGTGTGGCTCACTGTGGGTCTGCTCTTCCCAACTATGGCTTAAAAAGAATCTCTTTCCCTCCTTTACACACATACACCGTGAAAGGTAGAGGTTTTGAAGGGTGGGCCTTCTTTAAGAGTGGGTTCAGGGATGCCTGGGTGGCTCATTCGGTTAAGCGTCCGACTTCAGCTCAGGTCATGATCTCACTGTTCACGAGGAGGAGTCCCGTGTAGGGCTCTGTGCTGATAGCTCAGAGCCTAGGGCCTGCTTCGGATTCTGTGTCTCCCTCTCTCTCTGCCCCTCCCCTGCTGGCGCTCTGTCTCTCTCAAAAATAAACAAACATT